TGTCTTTTGATTTCAAGGCTGCAGTCACCATCTACAGTGATTGTGGAGCCCAAGAAAGTAAAATCTGTTACTATTTCCATTGTTTCCCCATCTGTTTGCCATGAAGTAATAGGACTAGATGCCATGATCTTAGTTTTTTGAATGTTGAGTTTTAAGCCAGCTTCTTCACTCTTTTCTTTCACTTTCATCAAGAGGCTCTTTATTTCCTCTTCACTTTCTGCCATAAGAGTGGTGTCATCTGCATATCTGAGATTGATTATTGATTTTTCTCCCAGCAATCTTGATTCCAGCTTGTGCTACATGCAGCTCAGCATTTCACATAATATACTCTGCATATCCATCTAGTCAAAACTGTGGCTTTTCCAGTAGTCATGTATGGATGTGAGAGTTGGACCATAAAGAAACCTGAGTGCTGACAAATTGATGCTTTTGAACTGTGGTGTTGAAAAAGACTCTTGAAAGTCCCTTGGATTGCAAGGAGATCCAACCAGTCCATCCTAAAGGAAATCCTTTAGGAAGTCCTAATAATTCATTGGAAAGACTAATGCTGAGGTTCCAATACTTTGGCCACCAAAGTATTGGTGAAAAGCTGACTCATTGGGAAAAACCCTGTTGCTGGGAATGATTGAAGGCAGGAGGAGAAGGGGACAACAAGGATGAGATGGTTAGATGGCATCACCAACTCGATGGACATGACTCTGAGCAAACTCCAGGAGTTGGTGATGGGCAGGGAGGCCTGGTGTGCTGCAGTCCATGGAGTTGCAAAAAGTTGGACATGACTGAGTGACTGAACTGAACTCTGCTCTGCGTACAAGTTAAATAAGGAGGGTAACAATATACACCCTTGACTTTTCTCAATTTGGAACCAGTCTGTTGTTCCATGCCTGGTCCTAACAGTTGCTTCTTGACCTGCATGCAGGTTTCACAGGAGGCAGGTAAGATGTCTTATATTCCCATCTGATAAGAATTTTCCACAGCTTGTTGTGATATACACAGTCAAAGGCTTTAGCATAGTCAGTGAAGCAGAAGGAGATGTTTTTCTGGAATTCTCTTCTTCTACCATCCAATGGATGTTGGCAATTTGATCTCTGATTCCTCTGCCTTTTCTAAATCCAACTTGAATATTTGTAAGTTCTCAGTTCACATACTGTTGAAGCCTAGCTTCGCAAATTTGAGAATTACTTTGATAGCATATGAAATGAATGCAATTTTGCAGTAGTTTGAACATTTTTGGCATTGTCCTTCTTTGGGATTGGAATGAAAACTGAACTTTTCTAGTCCTGTGGCCACCATTGAGTTTTCCAAATTTGCTAGCATATTGAGTACAGTACTTTTTTTTTTTTCATTTATTTTTATTAGTTGGAGGCTAATTACTTTACAGTATTGCAGTGGTTTTTGCATTACATTGACATGAATCAGCCATGGATTTACTGAGTGCAGTACTTTAAAAGCATCATCTTTTAGGATTTGAAATAGCTCAGCTGGAATCCCATCTAGCTTTGTTCATAGTGATTTTTTCTAAGGCCCACTTGACTTCTCACTCCATATACATACCTTCAAATGTATACCCTCAAATAACTCACCTGTATCTGTTCAACATATATCTCTTCAAAATCAGAATATCCAGAAACCTGGAGGGGAATTCTCTCCCTTGTTCTTTGTGATAAACACAATCCCTTAAGTTAGTTACCACATCTGAAAAAATAACAACAAATAATGCTATCTCATTAACAGTCAGTTGAAACACAATTCCTTGAAATAAGACACCCATCCACTTCTGGGACTTCAGTCCAATAAACAAGCTTAAACAGATGCACTGTATTCCAAAGGTTAATTTGTGGTAGGAAATAAGTTACAAAAAACAATATCCCCCACGATGGAAAAATGGTTCAATAAAACATGGCATATGATTTTTAAAGACCATAAACATGAAATATGATCATAATAGCATATTAAATGAAAAAAATCAGACACCAAACTCTGTAGAATATGAAGATGACCATGTGGGAAACAAAAACAGATTACATCTTTACTTAGAGAGATAGGAATGTCATCAAAATTTGAGTAGCAATTACATAGGAAGGTTGGCTACATACTTTTAGTATTATAAAAAATATTTTCTACAAAATATTTTGCAGAAGAACCTACTAAGCAGAACTAACTTTCCTACTGCTGCAGAATTAGCAGGACTAAAATGTATTTCTATGAAAAATGTAAAAAATATTATATTTATTCTGCTGAAAATATTTAAACTCAACCGGAACTAAACCTCTGCTTAAACTAGTCAGAGTGTGTTTTCACCCATGGAGAGAGAAAAAAGAAAGATATCTCTTTTATAATCTACCTGTGCAGCCAGATCACAGGTGTGATTAATCCCCCTAAATCCAAGAAGGAAAATGTCAGCCAGCAGGGCCCTCTGCTTATAGAAGATTCAGCTAAACTGGGTGCTCTGTGCAAACACTCTCTTGTGGGTATTTACCTCCTACCTGATCAGACTCCACAGCTCCTGTCCTGGGATCCAGACTTGGCATCTTAGGGAATCTTAAATTGTCACAGGGAGCCCATTGAAAAATTAGAATACTTTATAAATTTAAAAAAAAAATTCTTTACATTTGGGTGAGTGATGTATTTAACATGAAAAAACTATGTGAAATAGGAGGAATATCGTTGTTTTACATTTGATTTATCCATGTCTTTTGGAGGGAAATTAATTTTATTAATTGGTTAAATTGTTAACTGGTTAATTGGTTAAGCAATTGAGGTAAAACTAGTTCCAGGTAATGGAAGTCTCAAAATCTGAAATCTTTAGATCTGATTTTTAGCAAAGCGAAAAGCAAGATGAAAAGTTGTGATTCACTGATGCAAAACAGGAAAGCACAGACAACCGCTTCTGATAAAAAAGGTGTGAGCTTTTACATCAAGGTCTGTAAGTTCCAACTTGACTGCAAAAGTGATGGTTTCTAGGGCTGTTTCTTTGATATCTATTTAGACTATGCAGACACATGAAACCCAATGGGCTGTTGAGAAAAGCAATGGGATCCAAGAAAACAATAAATGAGGAAACTTGCTTGGAAAAAAGATGGGATCTTACTGCTCTTGTGTAACTCAGACAGATTCTTAAAGACAGCCGAAGACATTCATTCCATGAGGAAGCCGGCATAATGAGCAGTCCACAGACATTTGCTGAATTCGTGCTACTATCTGCTCTTGAACTTCTTCCCGTCGGTTGTCCAGGGCGATCCCCCAGCCCTGCCCCAGCCAGGGCAGATCCACCTTGTCTGTTCTCTACCTGCCATTCCTCACCCCTGTGCATTCCTCATCTCTCCCCACCGTCCATTCTTGCTTCTCTGTCTCTCTCTCACCCCACGCCCTCCCTCCCTTTCCAGAGCCCTGGCCATCCTTCCAGGCCCGCCTGCAGTCAGCATCTTCTGACTGCTTCAGACCACTCTCATTTCACCACTTTCTGGATGCCTGCTAGCCTCCTGTCCACTGCCACACACTTGGGCACTTCAGATTTCTCTCCAGCTTCCTAAGTGTTTATTTCCTCTCTCCAACAGGGTTGTAAACATTTTCAGGGCTGAGAAAGCTTTTCAGAGCCCTGAGAGATCCACAACTTGTACTCAAATACACATAGGTGCACAGACACATTCACACACATACACATACATGCTCCTAAATATGCACACACAGACATAATACAAAGACACACACATACTCACACATACAGCCATGTATCTGTTGATTGTCTGAAAACTTATAATATCTCTGTCACTATAGAGAATCACTTTGATGCTGTTCTTAAAACATACTTGAAAAAAGTCTAGATTCTTAAAAAAAAATAAATTCAACATAGCAGTGAAAACCGTTCTGTCTTCTACTAGACTGACCCCTTTATCCTTATCAGAGAGAAGCTAGCTCCAGCCTTTCCTTGCCCAGCTTAAATCACCATAAAATGATTCCAGAAGGACTCAGAAATGAAAGAAATGAAAGAGGTTTGCCTTCTTGCCAGGGGTGGACTCCCATTCACATTCAGCTTTCAACCTGGAAACACCTTTATTCTGGAATATTCCATTAGAGTGTAAGCTCCCTGCAGGCAGGGACCTTTTTAAAAAAGTCACTTCTGTTGGGACCATGTGGCAGAGTGGATCTCAGTCAATTTTTCTGGGTGAACACATGAACATCCGTCTCACCAGATGATGGTTGATGTAGGCTGAGGTACGGCAAACTCAATCTGTCTTTTGAAACTCCACCACCACCTAGAGCAGCCAGCGGCCCTGCAGCAGCTTGACAGAGGAACTGGGAGCACGGGCTCTGCCATGGATTCCCTCCTGTCTCTCCTGTTTGTGTGGTCTCCTGTGACCATGAGGGTCCTGAGGTGCTGCGTCCCAGGCTGCGGGGAGGGCTGGGTGTACCCACACAGGTGAAGGCAGACCACCTGGCCACAAGCATCCTCTAGGAATGAGTTTGCTGCTATAGCTGCTATTACTAATGTCACATCTGTATGATTTTCATGCTTATTCAATTTCATTTTTGGCTCCCTATGAGGTAGGCAGGCGCTGGTTTACCACCTGTCCCACCTCAAGTGTTCTTTTTTTTCTGTATAATTTTTAAAATCAGAATAAAGCCGCTTTACAACGTCATGTTAGTTTCTACTGTAAAACAATGTGAGTCAGCTACACGTGTACATATATCTCCTCCTTCGTGAACCTCCCTCCCCCCCTTCCCAACCCTCTAGGTCATCACAGAGCGCAGAGCTGAGCTCCCTGCAATGTACAACAGCTTTCCATTAGCTGTCTATTTTACACATGGTAGTGTATATATGTCAATGCTCCTGTCTCAATTCATCCTACCCGCTCATTCCCTCCTGTGTCTATATGTCCATTCTCTATGTCAGCATCTCTATCCTGCTCTGCAAATAGATTCGTCTGTACCATTTTTTTTTTTAAGATTCCACATATATGCGTTAATATATGGTATTTGTTCTTCTGTTTCCTGCTCAGGCTCCCAAAAAACATTTGCAAAACGGGATTATCCGTGGCTACCAGATTGGTTACCGCGAGTATAGCACCGGAGGCAACTTCCAGTTCAACATCATCAGTATCGACACCACAGGGGACAGTGAGATTTACACCCTGGACAACCTCAACAAGTTCACCCAGTACGGCCTGGTGGTGCAGGCCTGCAACCGGGCCGGGACGGGGCCTTCTTCTCAGGAAATCATCACCACCACCCTCGAGGACGGTAGGTGCCTGGCCCCCTGCGGGCTGTGCAGGGGTGATGTCAGCCTAGCCGGCTGGGACCGGGGCTTTCTTCCAGCGGTGCGGAGCATGTCCTAATTAACTCGCCTGGATTCGGCGCCCTGGACACATCCTGATGGAAAAGCCGAACCCACTCCCTTTTCAGCATCTTTCTCCTGCATTTCAAGCCCAAGAGGTGGGCTTCTCCCAAGTGAATTCAAACCTTCCCCTGTGACTGCAGCAGTCTGGGCACAATGTAGAAATCCGATTTTCTAAAAATGTCTCATAAGTCAATGTTAAGGAGGCCCCCCCCCCTTTTTTTTCCTTTCTTTCTTCTTTTTTAATCATTGTTTTTTATTTTCAAGCGTTCTAAGACCAGAGAACAGACATGAGCAGGCTTCCTGGATCTAATCTCACGGTGACCGCGCGCCCCCTAGTGGCCATAAGTAATTAATGTACCCTCCCATGTTGACCGCCTAAAAGTTCACATTCTCCGGCAGTGCATGAAAATCAGGGAGAACCCTGATGTCTAGAAGCATCATCGTTTAGGTACAGAGGCCAAACACGGAGTTAGCTGCAGCAGGAGGTGGCAGATTTTCCTGCAAAAGGCTTGCATGGCAGCTACCTCTTGTGCTTTGAGAATACACGTGGTAATTTGCATCTATAATTTCTGACCTAAAGAACTGGGGAGGGGTGTGTGGGGGGGAATCCCAACCATTTTTATAGGGAGAGCTAGTAAATGGAAATCCAGGATTTTCTTTCCATATTCATAGTCCTTGCAGTTGTGGTTAGATAGGCCTCTGGGTTTTCACTTTGATGTTTATTTTTCATTGATGTTTGTGATTCAGTCACTATTTTTCCCCCTTTCCCAAGTCATGATGTTTAAGGTTTGCATAAACTCAACGTGAAATATCTTTCTAGCCTCTATCCTAGTCCATTTTTTCTTTCCTCTGATGGATGGTCTAGGATTGAAAGGGGCACTGCTGGAGTTGGAGCAGTAAGTACGACTTGTCTGCTTGTGAGCTTTCAATTTACACTCCAGATACTACTCAACACCAGGGGACTTAGTGTATTGTTCTTGTTGTTCAGTTGCTAAGTCTTGTCCAACTCCTTGCCACCCCATGGACTGTAGCTCCTCTATCCTCAACTATCCCTGTATCCTCAACTATCCCCTGGAGTCTGCTCAAATTCATGTCCTTTGAGTCGGTGATGCCATCTAACCACCTTATCTTCACAATAGTTTGCAAGAATGATGGGGAAATAAGCCAGACCAGTAATGGTCTTTAATTCATACAATAGGGTCAGAAGTGTTCTCAACTCTCTAAGCTGGGGGCGAGCTGCTTAAAAGTGAAGCAGTTATTCTGCAAAGAGAGACACTGGAATTCATCTGAAGTCACTGTATTTTTACCGAGTTATCCTATTTGTACAGGAAAGTGGTACTCATTTTTCCCCTTAATTTGGGGGATTAAGTGCAATTTTTTTCTTTTGCTTGCACTTTTGAAATATTAAACTCATGTTGCTTATTCAGTATTAGTTTGCTAATTAAACCACCAACAGTTTTTACAGAGTCTAATTATCTCATTTCAGTGCCCAGTTACCCCCCCGAAAATGTCCAAGCCATAGCAACTTCACCAGAAAGCATATCAATATCCTGGTCCACACTTTCCAAGGAAGCCTTGAACGGAATTCTCCAGGGGTTCAGAGTCATTTACTGGGCCAACCTCATGGACGGAGGTAAGAGGATTAACTGGCGGGCGATGGAATTTGTACATGCCCCCTCCTGCCCTGGGATTCAGTACAGGCTGGGCACTTCTTCATCGCTGGGTACTTTCCTCCTTCCTCACACTGTTCTGTTCTTGTCTCATATCTGACATTTTAACAGCTGTGCATAGCTGTTTAAAACATTGGTGCTGGTGTTTTAGTCCCTAAATCATGTCTGGGTCTTTTTTACGACCTCATGGACTATAGCCCTTCAGGTTTCTCTGTCCTTGGGGTTTTCCAGGCAAGAATACTGGAGCTGGTAGCCATTCCCTTCTGCAGATGATCTCCTCGACCCAGGTATCGAGCCTGTATCTCCGGCATTGCAGGCAGATTCTTTACAGCTGAGCCACCCAGGAAGCTGTTTTTAAAACAGCATATACTTTCCAAATTTGAAGGATAGGAGGGGGTGGCTGGCACTTGGGATATCTAGGAATAGATGTGTTTTCCTAATTATGAGTATCTATGTCAAGCCTCTGCAGGCAGCACCGAAACCTTGATCCGTATCTAGAAAGTTCTGCGTGACGTGTGTCCTAAAAGACTGACCCCTTCCTGTTCCTGACAGAGCTCAGCAGAGAAAGTACTTGAGCTCCTGCGGTTGAACTGGAAGGGGTTCAGGAAGAATACTGGAACCAGAGGGTATTATTATCCCTGCGAGGAGACATTTTATCCCAAACCCTCCATTCTGGGGCTCCTTTCTCTATTTTTCCCCTCCTCTATCCTCTCTTTCTTCATTCTCCTTGTTTCTTTCTTTCTTTCTTTTTTATTCTTTCTTTGCTTTCAAGTTGTGGGACAAAATCCTCCTGTCTAGGGGCAGGATGTAGGACAAGAGATGGTCAGCTGGGAGGATAGCAAGACTGGGGCTCCAAGCGTCTCAGGCAGAACACAGCTCTGTCTCCGCTTGCAGAGGGTAGGTGCCTTGAGCCAGGCTGAGCCCCACTCCAGGAGCAGGACAGGCTCACCCTAGACTGCCACCCCTAACAGGAAAGGCCCTGCTCTCCGCTTTGGACCAAGGCTGGGGCCTCCCATGCCTGCTCCCTTCCCCAGGCCCTGTTTCCAGCCTCCTCTCATCGCCCCCAGCTCTCAGGGTGCCTCCCCCCCCTTATCTGGGGCTTCTTTCAGCCCTTCTGCTAGTCCCAGTCGAGGTCCCCGGAGCACCTCCCGCCTCTGCTCAGGCCCGCCCGGGTCTGCTCTAACAACCAGGCCACTGTCTTCACCGAGGTAAACAGAACACGCGGGGCCTCAGAGGCTGCAGGGATCTACTCTTGTGCTCAGTAGTTCAGTCGTGTCCGACTCTTTGTGACCCCATGGACTGTAGCCCGCAGGCTCCTCTCTCCATAGCGTTTCCCAGGCAGGAATCCTGGAGCAGGTTGCCATGGTGCGAGAATGAAGGATGGAAGACACCTCAGCAAAGGCAGCCTAATTAATGTGCTAAGTACACAGCTGGGTCCGAGGCTGGCTGAGCCCTTTATGTCTGTAACCAGACTTGCATCTCAGAGCTGAGGATCAGCCCCAGTTCCTCCTGATGTCCAGGGTAGCACTTTGCACAGCGCCAGCAGGGGGAGACATTGATTCACCTTCTGAGCATCTCAGCGCGAAGCTCTTGCCGGATGCTGAGGATGCAGCTCCTCTCAGATGGATGCTCTAGTCTAGTGAGACGGGGAGGATGCGCTGAAATAAAGAACCACAAGCCCAGTAATGCACAGCCAGCCCCACCGAGGGACAGAATTAAACAGATGACTCACTTCACCTCATCCCCCAAAAAGAGCTTTAAAAATTCGCGTGGATGTCAAGTATGTTGTTTAGTTGCTCAGCTGTGTCCAACTCATTATGACACCATGGACTGTAGCTCCTCTGTCCATGGGATTCTCCAGACAAGAATCCTGGAGTGGGTTACCATTTCCTTCTTGAGGGTATCTTCCTGACCCAGGGATCAAACCCATGTCTCCTGAATTGGCAGATGAATTTTTTACCATCTGCTCCACCAGGGAGGCCCCGGATGTAAAGTACAGAGCAAAAAAATATTGCAAATTATCTATTTTACTGACATAGTACCGTAATATATCATTTCTTGTTTTGATTCTAATTCTCATGTTGAGTCAGATTAAATTAAACACCCTAACCGACATACCTGAAGTTAGGATTATACTAAGATTGTTCCTTTTTTGTTCTTTTTAGAAATATTTCCATAATCCAGTGGTGGCTATTCATCATATTTTCACATTTCACTCATATTTGTTAATAGTGCCTATTACATCTTAGGTCTGTGATGGATGATGTGGTTAATACGGTCTAGTCAACTTTATATTTTACAGCTTTAAAAACTTGAATATTTAAAAATTAAAGACTTTGAATAAAGAATGCTTGGAAACACGTGTAGTTTCTAAAGACACTTCTACTCCCTGTATGAAGACCAAGGTGATGTGGTTTAGTGCCTAATGTACAAGTTCTATTCTTAATCTCCAAAAGAAAAAAACTCTCAGAAATTTAAGCCTGCTATGAGCAGCGACATTTTATCTGATACCCCTGAGAGCTAACATTTGGGAATTAGCAGGGAATGTCATAGAATTCATGGATTCTTCTGCACGAATTCCTCAGACTGTGGCTCCGAGGTACCCACAGACACGGAACACATCGTGTTTGTGTAAAGGTTATACCTGCTAAGCTTGAGAACACACCACACACATACTCACACACTCAGGCAGGCTGAGAAAGACATTGTTACTACCCCCCATGGTTCGTATTTTCCCCAAATACTTTCAAAAATAGGCATAAAACATTTTTTTCTTGCTAATATGACTAGATAAAACAAAAATGGTTAATTCACTTGCTAGGGCAGTTAGATATACAATATGTCCATGAAATTTCTGCATATTTTATTATCTGAAAGTCAAAGAATTTTAAAGACAGAAGCAGCTTCTCTGAGATTACTGGGAAACCAGCCCTATTTCATCTGAATCCAACTACTTTTCAACCCTCCTCTCTTTCTTCCAGACAAAAAAGACAGATTCTGAGTCAAGCAACACTTAGGTGCCAAACTGGGCTTTTGGTGTGACGCTGGCAAGTCACGGAGATGGGTGGGGGGAGTCAGTTCCACCCGTTTTGGTTCCTTCCTAAAAACCCTTTAAGAATGAGGGAGGGTATAAATAAATACATAAAAATTATTTTCTGTTAAAACATAAAGTTTAAAAAAACTTTTATACTGTAAATAGTATGGTCTCTGAATTTCTTTCTGTATTCATTTTATATTGTTTTACTCATGATTTCAACTGAACAGTCTTCTTGCCATAAATTTTTAAAATTTATTTTATTGAAGTATAGTTGATGTACAATGTTGTGTTAATCTCCATTGTACAGTCCCATATATATATATTTTTAAATTACTCCACTGGGACTGTGAAAAGTAAATGACAGAAATTGATGTTTAAGCCATGAAGAAGACTGGGAGCTTAAATGAACAACAAATGAAGCACGCTCTTTGCATTTGACTTTTTTCATGATTCTCCTTTTAATTTCTTCCACATGGGCTGATCAGGAAAGTACCCTTGAAACAGAGGGAATGAGGTGTTTCTATTGTTGATTCAGGGGCTCTGGGGATTTTTAAAAATGCTTGGGGGTAATTTTAAATAGGGGTTTGGACTGTAGGCCTGTTCACGGTTCGTGATAAATTCACTCACCCAAATAATGTGGACCCCAGGATGAGTCAACATCCAAATACTAATCCCAATTAGTGTGGTGATTCATGATCTGGTGTATTAAAAAGATCAGGGTACCCCACTTTGCCCTTCTCTTCTCAGCTCTTCTCTTCTGCATCACTGTTTCTCACCCAGAAACAGCCAGCCCCTTCGGCATGCCTTCCCTGGGCTATAATTAGAGATAGTATTTCCCCTGTGACGTAGAGACCCTGGGCCCTTCTTAAATATAAAAACAAAAAAATCAGTACTCTTGCCTGGAAAATCCCATGGACGGAGGAGCCTGGTAGGCTGCAGTCCATGGGGTCACAAAGAGTCGGACACGACTGAGCGACTTCACTCACTTTAGGCTTGTCATAGCTTTTCTTCCAAGGAGCAAGGGTCTTTTAATTTTGTGACTGAAGTCACAGTGATTTTGGAGCCCATGGAAATGAAGTCTGTCACTGTTTCCATTGTTTCCCCATCTATTTGCCATGAAGTGGTGGGACCAGATGCTATGATCTTAGTTTTCTGAATGTTGAGTTTTAAGCCAGGTTTTTCACTCTGCTCATTCACCTTCATCAAGAGGCTCTTTAGTTCACCTTCGCTTTCTGCCATGACGGTAGTGTCATCTGCATATCTGAGGTTACTGATGTTTCTCCCGGCAATCTTGATTCCAACTTGTCCTTCATCCAGCCTGTCATTTCACATGATGTCCTCTACATATAGGTTAAATAAGCAAGGTGACAATATACAGCTGTGACATACTCATTTCCCAATTTGGAACCAGTCTGTTTTTCCACATCTGGTTCTAACTGTTGCTTCTTGACCTGCATACTAGTTTCTCAGGAGGCAGGTTAGATGGTCTGGTATTCCCATCTCTTTAATAATTTTCCACAGTTTGTTGTGATCCATGCAGTCAAAGGCTTTAACATAGTCAGTGAAGCGGAAGTAGATGTTTTTCTGGAATTCTCTTGCTTTTTCTACTATCCAGTGGATGTTGGCAATTTGATGTCTGGTTCCTCTGCCTTTTCTCAATCCAGCTTGAACATCTGGAAGTTCTTGGTTCATATACTATTGAAGCCTGGGTTGGAGAATTTTGAACATTACTTTGGTAACATGTGAAATGAGTGCAATTGTGTGGTAATTTGAACATTCTTTGACAATGCCTTTCTTTGGCATAATCTTTGTCACATGGAAAAGTTCCTAAATCTGAAAAGATCTTGATGAGAACTATACTTGCATTTTTTTCATTAGCATTTGACTTTTTTATGCTACTCCCATTGATCTATATTATCTATGTTCAGGAAAATGAAAATTATAAATGAATAATGTAATGGAAAGAGGTCTGATGGCCACCTAGGAAAGACTGTTCTTTCACAGGAAAGAATTTCTAACCCATCTGAGGGTAATGATTGTCAACTTCCCAAGCGCACAAGGACCACTTGGGAGCAAACATTTTTCTCATTTTCACTAGCCATCTGCTGCGACTTCTAAATTGTGGCCCTTGAAAGTCTGCCGCTGGCTGGTCGCCCCCAGGAGACACTGGACCTCAGGCATCTTTGGGGGGCTGCATCCTTGTCCTGCTGTCCCCCCAGCAAAGCATCCTGCCTCCAGAACTTACCCATGAGCTGCCCAAGGTGGAAACAGGCCTTGGGCTCCTGTTGGGTCCGGGGCCATGCCTGAGACCCACTGTTTCTCCCCTCCCCTCCCAACCATCATCAAACACAGGGGTCCCTAGTATGGGGGTGACAAACTTCAACTACCCCTGCTTTATTTGAAATTCAGCTTTCCTACTTTGTCCAGTTCAGCCCTGATATCACCTTTTGATGACAAAAGGTCAAAACAGACATTCATAGTCTCTGTAACCCCAAAATAACTGACCACTAATCTCCGAACGTCCATGCAACATGCTAGGAGGACAAGAGAGACGAGCAAAGAGCAAGAAGGGAAAACCAGGCTGGCAGAAACCCAGGTGCTCCAGCCAACATGCATCCACCCAGCGTCCTCAGGAGTAGCTGAGAGTGTGGACCGCGGGCACGTGGCCAAAGCTTGCAGTGCCACAGCCCACGCTCTCAGCCTTTGTGCTCAGATTCGTGGCCTGGCGAAGACATTGAGCCTCTCTCTGCCTCAGTTTCCCCTCCTGTGAAAGGAATGGCCAGTGGAAACAAAAGGATAGTCGTGTTGAGTGAGTGAGTTAGCATGGGAACCTAGTACAGGGTCCCTTAGGACCATCATGGTGCGTCAGCTGTGTTTCCTGAGGCCGGAGAAAGCGAGAGACACCTCGGGACACCTTGTCGTGAGCGTCGTGTGCAGAGATGAGCAGACACCACGGAGGTCTCCTTCCTGGCCCATCTCCCACCCCCGTTCTCAGTAACCCAGCCCGCCAGGCACAGGGATTGGGCTGCACCAAACATTCTGCAAATGACCACTTGCCCTAAAGGTGGGCAGCTCTTTGGCCCCTCTCTCCTCTGGCTCTTCTGCCAATGGCTCATTTCTAAATCCAGAGCACCCCTGCGGGTATTTCACAAGGCCCTGTGAGTTTTCTCAAGCTGCCATGTGTCATGGGCTTCAGACGGGGCCAGCGTAAAGTTGCATCTTTGCATGTCATTATCTGATCCCGCTGCAGAACACAAAGAATTTTTAGCTGACGCATTCCTGACATATCAGCCTGTCACGTGGGCAAGGGGTTCACTCCAGGTGACAGGAGGGTGTGCTGGGCCACCGCAGTTTAAGTTAGGTGCTAGAGAGCACATGTTCCTTAAAGGGGTCTGCTTATTTTAACCAGAAAACAAAGCTCGACTTGTAGAAGCTTCTTAGTGAGCAGTTAGAAGTATCTCTGTGCAGTGAGCCTTTGTGGTCCTGGCTTCCTGGGGCCAGGGTGCAGGGAATCTGCTGGGTTACTCCTGCTTGGGGACAGTTCCAGAGGGGCCTGTTGGCATTGGGTTTATAACACTTAACTGGACTGAACTGCTGTTTTCCAGACTTCTTTTCTTCCTGGCACTCTGTGGCAATTTGGTGCAAATAATGTTTTTCAAGAGACTGCAAAGGATCAGCGTCTCACGAAGGCTGTGCCCACACCCCTGGGTGATTTCAGGCCGTGATTGATGGGGGCCCAGCACTGGGCCACAGTAAGAACATGCCAACAGCCGTGGTAACACGCTCGTGTTTTCTTGTCCTCCAGAGCTGGGCGAGATTAAAAACGTCACCACCACGCAGCCCTCCCTCGAGCTGGATGGGCTGGAGAAATACACCAACTACAGCATCCAGGTGCTGGCCTTTACCCGGGCTGGAGACGGCGTCCGGAGCGAGCAGATCTTCACCCGGACCAAAGAGGATGGTGAGCAAGGGGGCAGGTCATGGGGGTGCTCAGGTCCCGTCTGAACCTCCAGGGGACACAGAAGGTTCCTGCCACGTGGCAGCATTCCCAGGAAGGAGCCATTGTCGGAAAGGCTGGGTCAGAGGGTTCATTCACCCACCGATTCCTGACTTGGCTCCTTGAAAACTTTTTGCTGCCCTCCTAAAATATTCCAGCATGATTCAGACCACACTTCCTGTGTCACCTTTGTTTGATTTATCCATTGTTTCTCTTCCCCTGGCTCCTGTCCATGGGGTCGCAAAGAGTCCGACACGACTGAGTGACTTCACTTTCACTTGTTTCACTTTCTCTCTTCCCCTATAATTTTTCATTCTTTTTTGGGAGCCACGTGCGAAGTCGTTTCAGTTGTGTCCAACTCTGTGCAACCCCATGGGCTGTAGCCTGCCAGGCTCCGCTGCCTGTGGGTTTCTCCAGGCAAGAACACTGGAGTGGGTTGCCATGCCCTGCTCCAGGAGATCTTCTCAACCCAGGGATCAAACCCATGTCTCTTACATCTCCTGCATTGGCAGGCAGAGTCTTTACCACTGGAACCAGCTGGGATGCCCTTGGGGGACCACATATTATTTTAAAGAAAAGTGCGTCTTATCTCAGGGCTGTAATGCAGGCCACCCCTGTCATTTACTCCATTGAATCATTTCAGTGACTCTTCAGCTATTAGTGTAAGCTCTGACCAATTCCATCTCTCCACTTAAAAATTATGTAATAATCTACATCATCCTATGCTTTGCCAACTTTGGAGTAACATTAGAATAAGCCCTCAATTTGAGAATTTCATGTTAATATTTTAAAATTTCTTACAAGGGTTTTTGGGGCTTCCCTCATAGCTCAATTGGTAAAGAATCTGCCTGCAATGCAGGAGACCCCAGGTTGATTCCTGGGTCGGGAAGATCCACTGGAGAAGGGAAAGGCTACCTACTCCAGTATTCTGGCTGGAGAATTCCATGGCCTGTATAGTCCATGGGGTCGCAGAGTTGGACACGACTAAGCAACTTTCACTTTCACAAGGGTTTATGATGATTTCGTAAAATTTTAATTATAGCACATTTCTCAGCTCACTAATCTTACTGTTCCATGCAGTTTGGACTTGGTTATATGGCTGTTCCCCAATCCTACAAAACCTGTATGATGAATCATTTTTTATATTAAGGGAAAGCCTGGGNCAACCCTATGGAATGTAGCCTGCCAGGGTCCTCTGCCCATGGGATTCTCCAGGCAAGAATACTGGAGTGGGTTGCCATGCCCTCCCCCAGGGGATCTTCCCACCCCAAGGGTTGAACCCGCACCTCTTACGTCTCCTGCATTGGCAGGCGGGTTCTTTACCACTAGCACCACCTGGGAAGCCCAATGTCCTTTGCTACCTAGGATATAAGCATGCTGCTGTTTCGCTCATGACTGTCCTGTGGGAACAAGGCTAGGGACATGCACTTGGAGGCCTGGAGACACTCTCCCCTTCAGCTTGTCTGTCTCCTAAGGACACTCCCCTGCTGCTCACAGCACCTCTGTCTGCTCTCCCCTCAGGGAACCCAGCCCTGCCCCTGAAGCAGCCTATCCATCTGCCCTCCCACCATCATCTTCACTAGCCCTTCTTGCATTCTAGTTCCTGCACACAGATTAAATCTTATCACCCTTAGTCTTTCTAGGACACACGAGTAATTATTCCCAGTTATAGGCAGGTGCCAGTCATTTTGCTCAGTTGTTGGATTCTTTAGGGAATTCTAAGGTCAAACTACCGTACCATTAAGAAGTCACAGGTTCAAAGAGATGTCTGCAAAGCTATGTCCTGAGTGAATAATTTAATTCTTTAAATTATTATTTAAATAATTTAATTTTTAAATACATTTAAATTTAAAATTTTAAACCCAATAAACAAATTTAAAATAAATTTTAAATTTAAAATAACTTTTTAAATATTTATTTGTTTGGCTGTGCTGGGTTTCAGTTGCAGCACACACTATCTTTTAGCTGAAGCATGTGGGCTCTAGTTCCCTGACCAGGGATCAAACCCAGGCCCTCTGCATTGAAAGCGTGGGGTCTCAGCCACCAAACCACCAGAGAAGTCCCTAATTTTTAAAATGCAATAAACAAAGAGTAACGTCAAGATGTTTGCTATGCCACCTGCTGCCCGGAGGACTTTGGCACCTTATCACACTTTCTCTGAACTGAACCATCTTCATGTACCAAATTTCCATGACAATCAGACTGCAGAGAATTAAAATCTAAAAGGTGAATTGATGTGTGCAAACATCACCTAGCTTGACACATAGTGGGACGGTTCCTGACACTAGACATTTGACTATTTGATCTCCACTCCTTCAGAGCGAGGGTGGAACTATCTTTTGCATTGCCAAGCAATAACACAGATGTCACTGGAATTAGTATTTAAAGAACAAATTGATTGACAACATGAATTTTGACACCTGCATTTTTCAGAAGAAAGTACAGAAATCCAGTGAAAGGGGAAGGCTTGCCACTGCTCCCTCATTGGGATCAATTTTTAATTACTCCTTCAAATTTAGAAGTTTTCATAGAGTTCTATCTCAAAGCTTGGCCCTGAGACGCAAAGTCTAATTTTTTAATCAATTATTCCCTTCTTTCATATCCAGTGCTACTAGTAAAGGGAGGTGCAATTGATTGTGGAAGGTCCTGCCTCAGGTATATCTGTTACCTCAGGAAGGAGGTCAGGAATTCCACTTGTGGTCATGGGTAGATGAAGAGTGATACAAAACTGAGGGTCGATATTTACTTGGGATAAATCATTAGCATGTTCAAAAAGAAGCAGAGTAGAGACTGGGGAAAAAGAGAGAAAAACTGGTATAACAATAAGCCTATCTCCCAAAATCACATAAAAAACTCACCAATCTAGAAATGGTGAAGAATTGTGCCAGCCGTGGATGTGAGTTGGACCAAAAAGATGGCTGAGCGCTGAAGAATTGATGCTTTTGAACTGTGGTGCTGGAGAAGACTCTTGAGAGTCCCTTGGACAGCTAGGAGGTCAAAGCAGCCAATCCTAAAGGAAATCAACCCTGAATAGTCATTGGAAGGACCGATGCTGAAGCTGAAGCTCCAATACTTTGGCCACCAGATGCAAAGAACTGACTCCTTGAAAAAGACCCTGATGCTGGGAAAGATTGAGAGCAGGAGGAGAAGGGAATGACAGAGGATTAGATGGTTGGATGGCATCACTGACTCAATGGACATGAGTTTGAGCAAGTTCTGGGAGTTGGTGATGGACATGGAAGCTTGGTGTACTGCAGTCCATGGGGTCACAGAGAGTCAGACATGACTGAGCAACTGAACTGAACTGAAGCAGTTTATCAGTGTCTATAAAGATTCTTGGTCATATTCTCCAAGAATATAGAGATCCTTCATATACATCTGTGATGTAGACTGTTGGACATATTATTGGGTCCATAGACAAGTCTCAGATCCATCAGGACCATAGTCATGATCCATGGATACATTCTTTAAGTCTGGAAGAATTGCTTACAATTCAGATTCTCTTCCCAACGTTCAATGAGAACTGTTCAACCAATGAGAACTTGCATTTTTATTATTGCTTCAAGACCACAAAAGATTACTTGTGGATCTAGCTTTCTGGACACAAGATAACTAATTCTGAATTCTAAAATGTTTGTGAAATCGTGATGCCATTTTATTTGCTGAGATTGTAATCTGAGCAAAGCCATGGAGAAATAGAACATACACAAACACAATCTAATAATTTTCCAATTATTTTCATCCTGCATGCCTAAGGTAGTTTCAGCTTTGACCCTTTTCTGCAGAGTAAACATTGCACATGTATAAATAGAGATGGTTTAAGTGCAAATATTTACTGAACGCATCGCAGTGCACAGAGCTCTGTGAGCTGACATGTGGAAGGTCAACAGGAACTGTGATATGTGATCTTTGGTCCCTCCTGCCGTGGTTAGCAATCTCTTTATCAGGACATCTCAAAGTGGACCTAAGAGCAAGAGAAAAAGCAACAGAATCAGGATATTTCTGAGTCCTCTGGCCATTCCTATCTTGAGCCATGCATCCCCTGGATGGCATAGATGGGGGTGTTCTCAGATGATAGAGTAACAGCACCTTAGTTTACCTTAGAAGTGATAGACTGTGTGTTTGTGGGGGGGTGTATTTGTCTAGCCCTTCAGGAAACACAGAAGCCTTTGTATCAGCACTGCTCCGGAGTCCTGCTGCAGCGGGCAGGGTTGGGATTTGCTCAGTGCAGTCGTCACACAGACAGCCACACAGTAGGCCAGGACATCCCAGGAAGGCTTCCACCCTGTGGGCGTCAAAACTCCCTGCATTGTGGGGCTTCTCACAGGCTCCTGGGGCCCCCAGAGGTATCCAGTGGTAATCAGGGGGCCCTTGGGGGACTTCCTGCTCTGCTTCAGGAAGCACCCCTCCACTTCCATCATGTTATACCTGGGTTTCCCACATGACACTTTAAAGGATTTTCCCACTTTAAAGGCTGTTTGGAAACCACAGCTCTTGTGAGAGCAAAGGCCAGACGTACTGGAGTGTGATGGAGACTGCTTGGGTGTGAGGATACACCCATTGTGGGTGTGTCCCTGCAGCCCCGTGCCTCCTGCTCACGGCTCAGAGAAGCCACGTGGAGCCGTGGCTCCCGTGGACCCAGGTGTTGTGGTGGGCCACATGCACACACAGGTGGAAACACATCACACACATCACATACACATACATGACACACACACATACATATCACACGCACTATTCATATATACTAACACTGTACATAACAGACACACACCACACATACCACATGCACATACACCACACAAATATACAATATGCACAAACCACACACACCGCAAACACGTACTTACTCTTTACATACCACACACACTCCACACACATCACATACACATACATGACAAGCATGCACACATACACAAATACACACCCACCACAAGCCACACACACATGCACACATAAACAGTGCAAACACACCACAGACCACACACACCACACACACTATACATGCACTCACACTACACATACCGTACACACTGCACACATCACATACACATACATTACACATATGCACACACACTATAAACACACATTACACATACCACACACACACCAGGTATCACATACACCACATACACACGAACACACCATTTGCACAATACACATGCAGACATACTATACACACACATCTCACACATCACACAAATCACAAAGCTCACATCACATACACAAATACTACACATACCAGACAAGCCATAACCCCTGCCCCCCACCACACACACACATGCACACCCCTGCCTGTGACTGATCATCGAGGCCAGAAAAATGATGATAAAAATGAAGTTGACTGAAGTGTCTGTAAGATCCTTAGACTTCTGTCTTACTTCAAATCAAGGCAGTGTTTTTACAGAGCATTAACATTGATGTTTCACATTAAGATACACTATTAGATGGCTGGACTGTATGGATATATTTTCTCTGTTGTACAGAAAATCCTCAAAACCTTAAAAAAATACAAATTCATTATCTGACTGTTTCCTGGGATCAGGAGTCCAGGTACTGTTGTCTGAGTACCCCGCTCAGGACCTCACAGGCTGAAATCACCATGGCTACTGGGCCTGGAGTCTCACCTGAGGTTAGGTCCTCACCCAGGTTTACTGGTGTGCATGCTTAGTCATGTCCAACTCTTTGCAACCCTATGGACTGTAGCCTGCCAGGCTCCTCTATCCATGGGATTCTCCAGGCAAAAATGAGAGAGAGTGAAAGTCGCTCAGTCATGTCCGACTCTCTGCATCCTCATAGCCTATACAGTCCATGGAATTCTCCAGGCCAGAATACAGGAGTGGGTGGCCTTTCCCTTCTCCAGGGGATCTTCCCAACCCAGAAATCGATCCCAGGTCTCTCACATTGCAGGCAGATTCTTTACCAGCTGAGCCACAATGGAAGCCCAAGAATATTGGAGTGGGTAGCCTATCCTTTCTCCAGGGGATCTTCCCAACCCAGGAATCGAACCAGGGTCTCCTGCATTGCAGGTGGATTCTTTACCAGCTGAGCTATGAGGGAAGTCCCACACAAGAATCCTGGAGTAGATTTCTATGCTTTCCTCCAGGGGATCTTCACAGCCTAGGGATCGAACCCGTCTCTTATGTCTCCTGCATTGGCAGGCAGGTTCTTTACTGCTGAGCCACCTGGGGATCCCAAGCTCACTGGTGTTGGGCAGGAACCATTTCCATGTGACCTCACATGCTGAGACCATCTTCTTGGCTCCAAGAGGCCATGCCCCCATCCCTGTCACGTGGCCCAGCAGGGTCTCACGGTCATGTGGTCACAGTGGGGCAGCTTGTCCCTCATCACCCACAGGACCTTGTCTCTACAATTCCAACCCCTGTCTGATTTCTAGACCCTCTTTTAAGCTGCTCATCTGATTAGGTCTGGCCCACCCAAGGTACTCCCCTTTCAATTAACTTAAAGCCAGCTGACTGTGTCCTTAACATATCTGCAAAATCCTTTCACCTTTGCACAACATGTAACCTGATTTTGAAAATGATCCATCCATCACAGTGACAGGTACCACCCACATGGAGGGGGAAGTAATTACGCAGGTGTGTACATCAGGGGGTGAGAATCTTGGGCACTGTCTTAGAACCTTGCCTGCCACACTGAGCTCATTTAGAAAGTCTGCTTGGAGGACCTCATATGTTCAAGGTATTGGCCAGGGCCCTGGAGACAAAGAAGAGAACAGGATGACCTGATGAGGCTTGCAGGCTGGTGGGGGAGTCATATATTTACCAGTCACTCCTGAATGGCTTATGACCCCAAGTATCATGAAGAAGAGTCTTCAGAGAACCCGGGAGTCCAACCTCATCAAAGCTGGTGACAGAGAGGATTTTCTTGAGAAAGTGGGAGTTAGCAGAAGATGAGTGATGAGTAAGAGTTATCAAGCATGAGGTGGAGGGTGGGAAATGATCCCAGGCAAGAGGAGCCTAAGGTTCTCGGTTATCATGTGTCAATGACCCGATGTGGGAGATGCACCCTGCATCTGGGGACCTAAAATAGGGTCCAGCTCTAAGGAATGACATAGAGCCAGGAAGAAAGCCCAGTATATGACTGGATTTGTCCACATGGAGGTTTAAAGGGCAAATTTATATGTCCTCTGACAGGCAGTGAGGAGGGAAGAGAAATTCTAGGTTTTGGCTATTGCAACCAAGAAGATGGCTGTACCATTGCCTGCACTAGGGGAGGAGGGAGGCGTCAGAGAGAAGGTGGTGAGCCCTGTTTGGAAAAGGATAGTTCTAAGGTTTGTGAGTCAAGAGTGGAAATGTCGGGGTGATCGGATGCTTGTTAGATGTGTGAGCTATAAGAGCACCTTGCTGCAGAGAGGAGGTCCAGGCCCTTGGACCTGATTCTCACAGCAATGAGAAACCTGTGCACCACAACTAGAGAAAGCCCACACACAGTAACAAAGATCCAGCACAGCCTAAAAAAATAAATAAATAAAATATTTAACTGACTAAAAGGAAATATCAGGGAGGGACATTCAGGCCAAATTGACCTCACTGGAATTTTGCAGAAGGCAAATGAGGATGATCAGATATTACCTAGGGCTGACAGGGAATGGAGACTTTGATCAGATATCAAAGGTGATCAGACATGGTGGGCATTTCAAGTGTCATATGGCAGCTTCCCAGGTGGAGCAGCGGTAAAGAGTCTGTCTGCAGTGCAGGAGATGCAGGAGACACGGATTCAATCCCTGGGTCAGGAAAATCCCTGGAGGAGGAAACGGCAACCCGCTCCAGTATTCTTGCCTGGGAAATCCCATGGACACAGGAGCCTGGCAGGCTACAGTCCATGGGGTCACAAAGAGTCAGACACAACTGAGTGACTGAACGCACTGGCTAAACTGATTGAGCAGAATTCTTGTTGAAGTGAGCTCTTAGGGGACATGGCCAAGAATAGAACTTATGCAGCTCTCAGATCATTGGTCAGAGAGACACTGTGTCAGCACCCAGGGCGGCTGTAACAATGTCCCTCAGACTGGGGGACCAACAGCAGGAATGTGTCCTCTTCCGGTTCTGGAGGCCAGACGGTCAAGGTCAAGGTGTAGACAGAGTCTGTTCCTCCCGAGGGCTGTGAGGGAGCATAGCTCCCTGGCTTGCAGGTGGGTATCTTCTCCCTGTGTCTTTACATCGTTTCCCCCATCCACGGCCTCTCTGTGTCCACACCTCCTTTTTCACAAAGACACCAGCCACAGTGGGTCAGGGCTCACCCAAATGACCCCACTTTAACTTGATTGTCTCTGTAAAGGTACCATCTCTAGATAAGGTCACTTTCTGGGGTAGTAGAGTTAGAGCTTCAACATGTGGGTGTCAACTGAAAAAAAAAGCGCACAACATGAGAGTCATGAATTAAGTTTTATTTGTGGCATAATGAGGACTATAACCTGGGAGACAGGTTTTCAGAAAGCTCTGAGAAATCACCCCAAAGCGGTAGGGGGATGGTCAGTGTATATATGATTTTTGTGAAGGGATTAGTCACAAACAAAAATACATTTTGGCAGAAACTCCCTGCTGGTCATAAGGAGCAGATGTCACCATGAAAGATTTTAGTGCTTTTCTAGATATGAGGAGAGGCAAGAAGTGGGCTCATAAAATCTTCTCCTCTATCTGAAGACTTGTTCTGCCAGTTCTTCCCAGAGCACAGAGGGCTTCATTCCTGATTTCCACACTGAACTCCTTTCCAGAGGTGTTGAAAGTCAGAAGTTGCAGGGGCCATGATTTAATCCTTGTAGAGGTGGATTGACAAGTACCAGTTTGTAATTGGCACAGGTTTTGGGGGACACAATTCAGACCCCAACACCAACTCCTGCAGAACAGAGCAGAGAGAGTAACCAAGCCAGTAGGGTCCTGTGGGGTAGGGGGACAGACTTGAGTGCAGCATTGGGGGAGGGGGAAGTACCATCGTTTTGTAACTAAATGTTCTACTTTTCCAGTTCCAGGTCCCCCTGCCGGAGTCAAGGCGGCCGCGGCCTCAGCCTCCATGGTCTTCGTGTCCTGGCTCCCACCCCTCAAGCTGAATGGCATCATTCGAAAGTACACGGTGTTCTGCTCGCACCCCTACCCCACAGTAAGTTTGTAAATCACCCGGTGCCTTTCAAGCATCTTCCAGAAACAAGCCTCGGTCTCCCATCTGGGTCATTCTCATTTTGTTTCCACCTACTTGGGTCTTCCCAGTGGTTTTATTTTTCTCTCTGCTGTCTCCACATACAAAGCAAGGTTCTCATTACCACCTCATTTGAAAATAGACTTCTGAATCCTTCTAAGGGACACAATTGTCTGGAATTATTGTTTATTGGGTGAGTTCCCACAAAACTGCCAGCTGGCTTATCAAAATCAAAACCCAGAAGGCTTAATTGATAGTCAGTGGACAATGACTATTGATTTTGCTGTAGCACTGTCTTCAAATGCCTCCCCCGCCTCCTTCCCACCTCCCACCTTGCCTTCCTTCCCTGCCCATCCCTCACAGAGACTTAACAGCAGACAAACCCCTGTTGTCCTAGAAATGAGGGACTTTATCAACGATCTGTGACCCTCCCAAGTACAGTGTGTGTGTGTGTGTGTGTGTGTGCACGCGCTCAGTTGCTAAGTCACGTCCAACTCTCTGTGACCCCATGGACTGCAGCCCACCAGGCTTCTCTGTCCCTGGACTTCTCCAGGCAAGAATGCTGGAGTGAGCTGTCATGCCCTTCCCTTTCCCAACCCAGGGATCCAACCTCTATCACTTGCGTCTCCTGCGTTGACAGGCAGGTTCTTAACCACAGGGGCCACCTGGGAAGCCCCCAAGGACAATAGTTAGCTTCATTCATTGTGGAGGAGTTAAAAGTTAGAGTACTTAATATTTCAAAGTGCAGTATTTATTTTCATTAATATTATCACTGAATAATATTTACAGAGTTAAACTGTTTCTTAAACTACAACAGCAAAAAAATTGAGTATCCAAGAAGGACATCATCAAGAAAACAAAAAAAATGGTTCATCAAATTAATGATGTCTTCATAGAAATATTTATGTCCTTGCCTGAGGTGGGCACTATGTCCAATCCATCCTTCTATCTCCCAGCTCCTGGCATAAAACTTGACCTGCATAGCCATTCAATAAGTGCTTGTGGGATGAATATGCAAAGTAAGTTTGGCTTTATTGTGGTAAAATATTATAACATAAAATGTACCTTTTCTAAGAGTTTGGTTCAGTAGCATTAAGTCCATTCACATTGCTGGGCAACCATCAGCACCATCCATCTCCAGAATTCTTTTCATCTTCCCAGACTGAAACTCTGTCCCCGTTAAGCAACAGCTCCCCACTTCTCCTCCCCTGGGCCCTGGCAACCACCCCAAGTCTGTGTGTGTATTAGTCGCTCAGTCCTGTCCTGCTCTTTGCAACCCCACGGACTGTAGCCCAGCAGGCTTCTCTGCCCATGGGATTTCTTAGGCAAGAATACTGGAACTGGTTGCCGTTCCTTCTCGAGGGGCTCTTCCCAACCCAGGAAAGTCTAGGAATCTCATGCATATCAGCAGAATCAGATAGTGTTTCTTTCTGTGCCTGGCTTATCTCACTGAGTGTGTTTGAGGTGAATCCACACTGTAACATGTGTCAGAATTTCCTTCCTTTTAAAGACTGAGTAGCATTCCTGAACTAATTTAGTAATTAAATTTTAATTAAAATGGCATGTTTTCCCAAGTCTAGAGTCTAAATGGGTCCAGAGGCCTGGTGGCCCCCTAAAAAGTGAGGATGATTAGCAGTGGGGAGCCAGGGGGAGAGCGGGACTGAGGCTCACAGGGGCTCATCTCTCATTGAAAAGTGTCAATTGTACGTTCTGCTGTTTATACGTCAAGAGCTGCACCTCTGGAGTTGAAGTGGAGACTTAGAAGTAATACGCTCACAGTCGGGTTTCAGAACTTGTGTGACTTCCTTATTTGGTTTCAAACATACTGTTAATTCTCACCTGCTGAATCCTGTTGCCAGATCCTGCCATCAAAGTCTGGAGATACAGAGCAGCGTAGATGACACGGTGGGTGAACCTGTTCCTCTTCTCAGAGGCCAAGCACTGAGGTCCCTGCAAAGGCTCTGACCCTCTGATCATCAGCCCTGACATAGCATCACATTCACCGAAGAGATGCTAACTTATTGCTGAAAGTGTGTCCACGTTTCACTAGCATTCAAAGGGCTTCTTTCTTATTCTATTATTATTATTTTTAATAAATACTATTATTTATTTTTTTATTTTTTTCAGTTTTATTTATTTTTTTTTCCGTGATCTTTTTTTTTTTTCATTTATTTTTATTAGTTGGAGGCTAATTACTTTACAATATTGTATTGGTTTTTCCATACATTGACATGGATCTGCCATGGGTGTACATGTGTTCCCCATCCTGAACCCCCCTCCCACCTCCCTCTTTTTTAATTTATTTTCTTATTGGAGGATAATTGCTTTACAATATTGTGTTAGCTTCTGCTGCACAGCAACATGAATATAAGTATACATATATTCGCTCTCTCTTGAGCCTCCCTCTCACCCCTGTAAGTTATCACAGAGCACTGCGCTGGGCCCCCTATGTTGTAGAGCAGCCTCCCACTGGCTATCTATTTACACGAGGTAGCATATATATGTCAAAGCTACTCTCTCAATTTGGGGTTTCTTTGTTTTTATTCAGTCATTCATTTGTCTGTTTGCCGTAGGACTCACAATTACTGTTTGACTTCAACAAACTATAGAGAGAAACCAGAAGGGAATAGTGACAACCAGCAGCTCACTCTTGCCTATCTTCCCAACTGGCTTTTTATGTCTAAACTAAAAGCCCCCGCCTGCATTATTTGGAATTAGTTCTGAGTGACTGAGGCTTTGCTGAGCAAGCTCACATCTATGGATCTAGGGCGCCCTGTTAGTCTTCATCCTCCCAGCCTACAAATTTCATCCTATAAAAAGAGAAGTTACTAGCTTGATCTCATGATGGAAAAGTGTGTAAGATGGAATATAAATGATTTGCCCAGGGATTTCCAGTCTCTCCCTACACAGAATAATGGGATTCAACTTCCCAGAACCTTCTCAACAAGAGTCTTACAAAAATTACAGGAGTGAGATCAAGCCAATCATAAAAGGTGGGAAATACAATGAACTTCTCACCCCACCAGTATCTTCCAACCACTAGCAGTGTCTCTGTGCTGTCTTTAGCTAGGCTATGTGCTCAGTTGTAGCTGACTCTTTGCAACCTCATGGACTGTAGCCCACCAGTCTCCTCTGTCCATGGGATCCTCCAGGTGAGAATACTGGGGTGGGTTGCCATTTCCTCCTCCAGGGAAACTTCCCAGGGATTGAACCCACACCTCTTGCATCTCCTGCACTGGTAGGCTAATTCTTTGCCACTTGTGCCACCTAGGAAGCCTGTACTATCTTTGCCTGCATGCTAACTCGTTTTGGGCTTCCGTTGTGGCTCAGGTGGTAAAGAATCTGCCTGCAATGTGGGAGATCTGGGTTCAGTCCCTGGGTTGGGAAGATTTCCTGGAGAAGGGAAAGGCTACCCACTCCAGTATTCTGCCCTGGAGAATTCCATGGACTGTGTAGTCCATGGGGTTGCCAAGAGTCAGACACAACTGAGTGACTTTCACTAAGTCATTTCAGTTGTGTCCTTCTCTTTCTGACTCCATGGACTGTAGCCCACCAGGCTCCTCTGTCCATGAGATTCTCTAGGCAAGAATGGACCCTATTAAAAAAAAAAAAAAAAAAACACTGTAACTCTAGAAGTACAATTATCACCCAGGTGCCAATGGTCTCCTGGGAAGTCCCACTTATTAAGCTTCTGGGAAAGCCCAGAACCCCAGAGCTGTCCTCAATAATGAAAAATGAATCAGAATCAGTTTTCTTCCATCTCTAGAGCCTCACTGCTACTCATCTATTTCAAACATCATTTAAGATCATGAGGTCTATTTTTAACAGACTTTATTTTTTAGAGCAGTTTTAGGTTGACAGCAAAATTGAGTGTGAGCTGCAGAGATTTCTCATATGAGACCTATTTTTAAAATAATACCATTCCAAGGAAAGATCAGAGAGGACTCATGCAAGTCTCTTCAGAGGGGAAGAATTGAAAAATTTCATCTACTAGTCTGTGCTTTCCCATGGAGTGAATAAGAAACTATAAATTACTAGAAGAGGGAATTTTCTTCCTTATCTTTAGTTTCTGCAATTTAATTTTAAGTCGGAAAACTGGATGCTATCAATTTTCTGAGGCTTTTGCGTTTCTGCCTATGTAGCAAAAGAAACACAAGAGGGCAGTCCTAGTTCTGTATATTTTCCCTGCTCCTGTATCTGATTTTTTTTTCTCTGAAATGACTTCATAGTCAAATGTAGAACATGGGAGGATAAATTAGGACACAGCATACTCTGTAATTTAATCTTCTTTATAAGAGTCCCTTGGCTAACCTCCTTAACAGATGTAAATTTTCTCTGAAGGTCCTCGATTCATCCCCCTTCCTTGTGGAAGGGCTTTGTTAAAAGATGCAGGCTCTTTCCCCTAATATGTGAAATGCCTTGTCTGATTATAGGCATTTGTTTCATGGTGTTCTCTCCGGTCAGCTTAGTAAAAAGGCATCAGAATATGAAACTCTGTGTGTTGCCAGACAAGACACTGTAAATTTGTCTCAAGACTGATTGCCTAAAAGTGGTGCTTGGTAAACATTAATCTCATTGTTGGGGGCTAGTTGATGCCATGAGACATCCACCTCCCCAGTCAGAGCAAAATCTCAAAGTCCGTTTGATTCAGGAATTCGTCCATATCATTTTGGAACCGTGGTTATTATTTTAGTATATAATGGTTTGGATGATCAATTCATGCTCTATGAGAAGTGATGGAAATCTGAAGAAGTGAGCTAGCCTTATAAGGTCCCAGGTAGAAAGGAGCTAACCTGGGCTTCCTCTCTAATAAACTTCCCCATTTAAAAGTAGACTGTGAGAAGGGTTATATATTACAGAAGCGCAAGGATGTAGAATTTGTCTATTTTGCAGTGCTAAGCTGATGGACGTAGGAATGTGAAATTAGATAGCCCAGACTTTCCGTTGCTCAGTCACATCTGATT